ATTTTATTTTTATGACTAATTTTTCTAATGTAGATGCATAACACGCATATTACTCCTAGTTTAAAATAGAGTTTGACTTCGTAAGCCTCATAATAGCTATATTTGGATAAATATGTATGTTATATTTTAATTTGAAGAAATATGAACTAAACTTCATCTTCGATGAGAAAACCCTTGTTATTGAAATATGATTCATAGTCCCTTAAAGGGAAAATTATTGTGTCCGGTGTTTGGATTCGTCCGGACACCAATCTGGTGTTGCCACATCACCAAAAATGCACCAGGACCCAGTATATTTGGGTGACGTGGCGTCACCAGATTGGATGTCCGGACATCCGGTGACCGGACGCAATAATTTGCCCCCTTAAAGGCCCGTGAATGGTTAAACAATAAAGCTACTTGAACTTCTTTCTTCTAATGACATTTTCCATCTACAATCGCCTTAAACCACTAGAACTTAATCTATTCCAACATCTCTTCACCATAATCCCTTAACTAATATAATTTTTCAAGAGTAGTTTGATGTGTTTTTTTTTTTTAGAATACATGAATCATCCATCGAAATACTAATAGTCCAAGATTTCAACCATTACATGTGAAGTTAGGCTCAAGATACTCTTTGAATAGAGGTTCCAATTAAGTTCAAACATGATTCAAATATTATTCTTATTCAAAATTCAAATAAAAGGAATACTATTGCTATAAATCTAAAATGAAATGCAAATATTCCACTAATTTTTTCATAGTGAAGTCAATCAATCTTTTGTTCTTAAATGATTATGATTCTTAATAGGCTTCATCTCAAGTCGCATCTTGCATCCATGTAGCACTAGGGGTGTCATTTCGGGTCAATGAGTCGGGTTCGGCTCGAACCCGAAACTGACCCGACACTATTCGGGTCAACCCGAACCCGACCCATTTTTAAAAACGGGTCAGGTTTCCGGACCTGAACCCGACCCGATTCAGGTCCGGGTCAACCCGACCCTGCACGAATGACCCAGGTTTGACCCAAAATTGCTAGTTTTCAGGTCAATCTCAGGTTTTCGGGTAAAAAATGAGTTTTCGTGTCACTTTCAGGTCAATTTCGGGTTGCTGGGTCAACCCGAACCCAACCCAATTTTTAAAATGGGTTGATTTGTTGAACCCGAACCCGACCCGTTTCGGGTTCAGGTTGACGCAAACCCGAATTTTTCCGGATCGTGTCAAAAATTGATACCCTATGTAGTACTTGTGAAGAATCATTTATATAAAAAAAAGTGAGGTAAAATTTACTAAAAAAAAATATTTCTAAAGTTGATAGTGAGTTGTTAAGAAATTTCAAGGATTGTTGGAGTGGTGATGGAAAGTTTAGGATTTATAGGATGCTTAAAAAGATAATAATTGGTTCTAGACTTATAGGATAAATTTTTGGGTATAACGGCAACCCCTCAAGAACTCTCCCTATTTGAAAATAAATAATACCGCTTCAAATTAAAATATTAATTAAATATTTAAGTACTTCTCTTGAACGTTTGAGCCAAAAAAACATGAGTCCAAAATAAAATTTTACATTAAAAATGTTATCTCCAATTCTCATATTTAATCAAACCCTATTTTTTTAAAATAAAAAAGAAATAAAGTATAATTAATTTTTATAATAACATGCATTTGAAATTGATATAATGAGAAGCCTCATGGTTTTCTCATAAATCAATGGAAAATAAGAATATAAATATAAGAGTAATTTTATGTGGAAGAAGATGTTAATATAATTGAATAGTATAAGTGAATGGTGGACCAATGCTATTGCAAATCCTTGTATTCTTAGCCAAAAGATACATTGAGTGAACGAAGAGACCATAAAGATTGGTTGTAACATAATGATTGGCATCGGAGTCCAATAACCACAGAGTGTTGTATAAGAGAGGAAGGTTGGTTATATGAATAGGAATGGTTGCAATGTGAGCTTTAGGATGGAATGGATTGATTTTTTTAATATTTTGTGAGGATTATGTTAAGAATGTGATAATGGGATATCATTGAGGTAAATATCTCTATTGGAAGCCAAGCTAACATTTCCCAAGATAGGGGGCCTATTTGATGATTTTTTTTTATAAGTTTGGAGTAGTAGGAGTTTGGTTCTAGGTACTGAAGTTTTATTTTTTTTAATGGAAAAAGCTATGAGAAAATTTCTAATTAGAGTTAGCAAACACAAGCATGTGTGTGAGATAGGATGTAATTTAATTGAATAGCTTTTTATGAAGAACATGCTTCACTAAGTAAGGATTATGAATTCTTCATCCAATCCTCCTAGGATTTTGAGAGTGTGATAATCTTCATCAACAAAGTGTTTAAGCCTAATGAACTTATTAAAAATACTTTTGATATGTTGCACATACTCAATGATTGTTTGTGTCTTTGTTTAGAAGATAAAGTTTCTCTTTCAGTTATGTAAGACACTCAATATGATTTGGTTTAGATGTTGTCGAGGGTATTCCGAGCTTCTCGTGATTTACAAGATGAGATAATGAATTAAACAATATTTTTTGAGAGGAAGCTAACATTAATCTTTGTGAATCCATAAAGAGTGATCTAGATTTTAGATATTTCCTTCAATAATGTAATTATTTTGGATGGGCATGAATTAGATCCGTAAATGAAACCCATGAGATAATATCCTATGAGAAAAGCATGAAATTGAAAATGTATAAAGAGTAATAACAGAAGCTAAGTTTGATTTGGGAATCTATGTCGTTGATGGAGGTAGGTGATAGATTCTTCTTGTAAGGCTAATGGAGTAAGTTGTTTTGTTGGAGGAGATGATGAAATCTTTAATCATTTTAGTGATAAAAAATAATGATTAGTGTTTTGATGCTCTTTTTTTATTTTATTTTTTTATTTTTAAAGTTGTGATGCTCTGATCATATCATGTAACAATTGATTATTTTTTTAGGAGAGGTAAATTATTTTCTTTGACAACATTCCAAGTGACATTAGTACATTATTTATAAATATAGCTCAATGAGAAATTTCGGGATGTGACATCCAATTATGATTTACCTAGTGTAGAATACATGAAAGCAAAAAATATTAAGTACTATAAGAGAAAGCTAACTCTTGATTGCTAATATTATTTTGTTTCTCTCAATTAGAAATATTGATATTATGTTTGATTTTTTTTTTTTAATATTAAAAATATTGTTGTTATGTTGCTAACTATTAGAAATATTGTTATTATATTTATTGCGTATTAGAATATTCATGGCGGTATAGAAATATAAAGTTTAATGCCTTAGCTTTGTATAAAGATCACCAGAGTTTTTATGTGGAAAACCCTAAAAAAACTCATGGAGCCTGATCTAGTTTAAATTAATCCACTATTATTTGTAGTCGACTATAAATGAATCCCTTCCTTGGAGAAAGGCCTTGGCTTGATGTAATAAATATGCATCATATAAAATGCATTACATGGTGGGACTTCAAAAAATCAGTATCGATAAATTTATTTGGTTAGTAGAACCATAGTCGACGAGCAATGGAGGTCGTAAATACCGTAGTCTAGTGACTCTAGTCGGAGGGACCATAGTCAGCTAACGATAGTGGCCAGAAAAGATCATTGTATGACGATAGAGGTTGAAAGGACTGCAATCTAGTTATGGAGGTTAGAAGGATCGTAGTTGGCGGGTGATAATGGCCAGAAAGGTTGTTGTCTAGTGAAGGAGGTCGGATGGACCATATGGTGACGGAGGTCAGAAGTTCGGTGATGGGTGGAACTTCGGCGTCATGCAGAAGTTAAACGATGGGCGGAAGTCTGGTGTCAGATAGAAGTATGACGGATGTCTAGCAAAGGGCAAAACTCCAGTGACAGGTGGAAGTCCGGTGTCGAGAAGAAATCCAACGACAAGCAAAAAGTTTGACTTTGTGTAAAAGTCTAACGAAAGTCCGATAAAAGGTAGAAGTTTGGTGACAGGTGAAAGTTTGGCATCGGATAAAAATCTGATGACGAGTGCGAAAGTCGGGCTACGGGCGGAAGTCTGGCATCGAGTGGAAGTATGACGATGGGAGGAAGTTCGCTATCGAGTAGAAGTTCAAAGACGGACAGAAGTTCGATGTCGAGTAGAAGTCCGATGAAATTCCCGATGCCAAACTTCCAATGGTGGAAAGAATTCCAGGGATGGGTGGAAGTTCATTGTCCGGTAGAAGTCCGGCGTTAGGTAGTAATCTGGCGACAGGTAGGAGTCCAACGACTGGCATAAGTTCAGCATCGGGTATAAATCCGATGAAAGTTCGATGATGGAAAGAAGTTCGGTATCGTGTAGAAATCCGATGATGGGCAGAAGTCGGACATCGGTTGGTGGTTAGGAGGTGGTTGAGGAGGAGCTTGGTGACAAAAGAACTCAAGTTTCTCTTTTTCCTTCTCTTCATTATCTTATCTTCTTCCTTGGGTCCCCTCCTGCTCCATTTTTCCATGAGAAATAAGGGATCTATTTATAGTTTTCTGAGAGTGGCATGACCAATAAATAAGAAGAAGATCAAGGATAAATTGGGAGTGGTTTGAATGGACAACAGATGTTAAATCTCTTGATCATAGACTGTTTATTGAGTATTTGAATGTCTTAATGATATTAGAATTCGACGATCTTTAGCTCGTTGGATTCGTCTCATCGAGCCGCTCGATTTGACTATAGGCATGTTGCGTTTGAAAATTGTTTGACAATCCAAATTATGGATTGAACCTTCCAAATGTGCTCTGAATCTTTGATTTGGATTTATTTGATATCGAATTGAGTCGAATTTGGTGTCGTTGTGTTCATATCTTTGAGACGTTCAATTCAACTAAAAGTTTGCTGAAATCGGAGTTCATATGATCTTCGATTTAATTTTTGAAGTTTCCTACTTGATTTTGCGTCGAGATTCGTGCCCAATCAACATTTTTTAAATCATATATCAATATTATTTATTTAAATATAATAAAAAATAATACCAATTTTTTTGACACAAGAGAATGGCTTCATTTCTTGGCACAAGAGCAAAAGGATTAGCGCATTAGTGATTTACTTTTATCGGTTTTGCTTCGCCGGGAATCTATTCTCTGCTGTCGCTAGCCTCGTAATCCATTCTTCTGTAAGCTTATCTTCTCCTTCGAAAATTTACGGAAGAAATCAGAGGCTTCACAAAGTTTCTACTTTCCATTTTTGCTCAGCCGGGCCATAGTCATGAGTTCGTTTGCTCGTTTAGAACATCGAACAGATGAGGATCCTAATGTAATCGCCATGATCTCCTTCTTGCTTGCTTCTGTTTCAGGAGGAGCGCTCTTTCTGGAGATGGAAGTTAATTTCCATGCTGGGCTGATGAAGCTGGGGATGAGGTCTAATGCTCTATTTATATGTTCGAACTGCAAAAGGTTATTTTTGGGAGCAATTGTATACATGAAGCTGCACGCAATTTATTTGATAGAATGTCTCAGAGATGTTCTGTATCCTGAATGACCTTGATGAAAGGTTTATCAAGACATGGAATCCAAGAAGTTTGATGCTTTTTGTATGGTCAAGGAGATGGAAGAGGCTAGTGATTGCACCAAATTCATTGTACCTTTTCCTTCAGTCACTATCTTCAGAATTTGGTAAATGGGATCGGTAAAAATGAAGTACTTGAGCTTGATTTGTTGGTTTCTTAAGGACTAATGGAGTGAAGCAACCAGTTAATTTTTGAAATTTTACTTTATTAAAACTCTGGGCTTTAGATTTTCTGTTAATAGATTTGATAAGTTCGTGAATCTCTTTAGTAGATCACGCTTATAATTCCTATCATGCATTTTTTATTAGATATTCTAATGTACTGCTTCAGTTTGAGAATAAGATGTTTGGGGTTGTTCCTGTTAAGTATTGTGAGTGTGTTAATGCACCTGAATATATTTAGTTTAATCTCACATTAGTTAATTGAAAAAATACGTTGGTGTAGAAATATTAATTTGTTGGCCCTTTCACATAAGCTGAACCTCTTCGGTTGAAAGCATGTTTGATCAATGATCTATTAGTCCCAGCTTCCATCTCTCTTTGATCCCTAATTCCTAATAGAATAGCATCTCCATAACTCTGGATTTGTAATAGAAGGGTTTCTCGTAGAAACCCCCCCACTTGTTTTTTTTTGCTTGCATTCTACTTAATAGGCTTGAGCTTGATGAATTTTGCTAGTTTTTCTGCCTATTCTTTGAAAAACTGGTCACCATATGTTTCAAGGAATTAAAGGCGGACAAAAATTCTGAAGGATAAGTTCCTACCAAGAAAAATTGCACATTTGCCAAAGATTTTCACGAGATTTTGATGACAAATTACTTTTCATCAACTGAACAGGTGATGTGTTAGGAAGAAAAAAAGGGTCATTATCTATCAGCATTCCCATTCAACAAAAAACTTCTTTACATTTACCATTTCTGTTCTACCGGTGCCCCTTTATCCAAATTTCTGTAAAAGGGGGCAGGTAGCATCGTTAAGAAAAATGCAATGTTAATTTTTCTACTTTTCACCTTTTTGACACCTCAAAAGTTATCCCACTTTTATGTTGACAGTTATAATATGAATCCTACTATGTTAAGTTAAGGTGATACCCATTATATTTCAAATCAGCTTTACAATGTGTGGGGCCTTATTTGCAAAAATCTAGGAGCCTCGGTTGAATAAGTTAAGTGGTCGGAATCTTAAATGGACCGCCAAATTATTTTCCCATGGAAGGTGCTGACTCTGCCATGACCATTTTCCTAAATGATTGGAAGAAGCAAATGAGTTGGGCGCCTATCCTTTTCTATTCCTCTCATTAGGGTATAATCAATCTCCAAATGCTCTCTAATTTTAGTTGCTAGCCTCTTAAACTCTTTTAAATGATTGATTTTCTTATGCTTTTCTACTTGACCTTATCTATATTTGAGTGGTTCGTATGATTTATGGCTCCCTTGTGTCAAGTGCACATTGACTCCCATTATGTATCAATTTGATGAGCTCTACATGATACTTGTTGATATTGAAAAGCTTTTATTTGAAAGGGAGGATGGTTGAAGTGTAAAGCTTTCATATGATGGAAATTTTGTTGACATATATATATATATATATATATATATATATATATATAAGCACCTAATAGTAAAAATAGTTGGTGGTGAAATCAAAATGTGCAAGAAAAGATAAAAGAAAATTTGTTATAAAATTTTGTTTGGATATAAAAGCTTGAAAAATTAGGAAAGATATAAAGGGTGGCCATAAGGAATATAAGAAAATAATATCTGATGCAAATAATTTAGCTTTTAATGATTTATATGATAGATTAGATATTAAGGAGGGAGAAAGATGTATGTATAAGTTAGTTAAACAAAGAGATAGAAGTAATTGTTTAGTTCAACTGAAGTGCATTAAGGATGAAAAGATCAAAAAGTGTTTTTACTAGAAGATGATGTTCAAGAAAATTGGATGAGATATTTTGGTAAGCTTTTCAATAAAGATTATGAGAATACGATAGATTTTAGTTACCGTAGCACTCTAAATGAAAATAAAATTTTTTATTTTTATCATCATATTAGTAAAATCAAATATAGGGAGGCTTAAAAAGAAATAAGTGTGAACAAGCTGGTGGACTTGATGATATTCTAATAGAGATGCAAAAATGCTTAGGAGATGAAGGAATCTTTTGTCTTACAATATTTATTAATATTATTTTAAAGACTAAAAATATGTCAGATGATTGGAGAAAGAGTGGATTGATTCTTATTTTTAAGAATAAAGGTGATCCACAAGAGTGTTTGAATTATATAGAGGAATTAAGTGAATGTGGCATACATTAAAACTATGAGAAAGAGTTATTTAGCATAAATTACAATGTGGTATTAATGTTTCTATTAATGTTTCTCTAATTCAATTTGTATTCATGTCGGGTAGGCCTAATTTGGATGCTATACATTTTTTGAACGGTTTGATAGAGAAGTATTGAGAGAACAAAGAGAATCAACATATTATATTTATTGATTTAGAGAAAGTATATGATAAAAATCCAAGAGAAGTGCTTTGGAGAGTTCTAGGAAAGAAAGGACTTAATAATGTTTATATTTAAGTCATTAAAGATATGCATTCATAAGTTACATGTGCTCAAACACAGTGCATTCAGAAGTTACATGTGTTCAAACACAGGGTGGTTTGAACAAGTATTTTCCTATTTCAGTTGGATTAAATCAAAGATCAACTTTAAGCCCATATCTTTTTACATTAGTCATGGATGTTCTTACTAGACATTTATAAAAGGATGTACCCTTGTGTATGCTTATTGTTGATGATATTCTTCTTCTTTATAAGATTAGAAAGGGAATTGAAGGAAAACTTGAATTATGGAGGTCAACCTTAGATTCTAAAGGTTTTTTTTTTTTTTTGAGTTGATTTAAACTGAATACTTTTAGTGTAATTTTAGTAGTAATGGATCTAGTAGGGGGTTGTGATTTTTTATTATCAAGTCATTAATAACAATATACATTTTAGATATCTTGGATCTATTGTTCAGAGTGATAGTGAAATAGATGGGGATATTTTTAGTAAAATTCAAGTTGGATGGTTGAAGTGGAGGAATGCATTAGGTTTGTTGTGTGATAGAAAAGTACACCTCAAGTTTTAAAAGGAAAATTCTATAAGATGTTGGTGAGATCTACAATGCTTTATGACATAGAATGTTGACCATTAAAAGAGAAGTATAAAATTAAGTTAAATGTTGCGGTGATGAGGATGCTTAGGTGGATGAGTAGCCTCTTAGTGACAAAATGTGAAAGGTGTAATACGTGAAAAGGTTGGAGTAGATCCAATGGTTGATAAGATTAGAGAGAGTCGCCTTAAATGGTTTCGACAGAAAATGTCAGTCTTCCAATGAACCGGTTAGGTGAGTAGATGTATTGGATTTGGCTTATATTAAGAAAGGTAGAGGTAGACCTAAAAAGAGTTCGCTAAAAAATATTAGAAATGACATTTTTTGTTAAATTTAAATGAGAATTTGATTTTTAATAGAATACAATAGAGAAAAAAAGATTCATTCAGCTGGCCTGACGTAGTGGGATAAAGGCTTGATGTTTTTGTTCTTGTTGTGATGTTGTCTTGGCTAGCTCCTATCATTGTTGAGTAGGGCTCAAGTGCACATGACTCCCATTATGTTTCAATGTAGTTGTAGGAGCTTTATATGATGCTTTTTGATATTGAAAGCTTCTATTTTATAGGGAGGGATGGTTGAAGTGTAAAGTTTTCATAGGAGGGAACTTTTATTAAGGCACATGAGGGTATGGGTTTAGTCCTATGTAAATTTGTTGAAAAATATGCTGGTATATATATATTAAATGGTTGGGCCTCAACAATAAATTTGAGCTTTGTCTCAAAATAAATTTTGCCATTGGACATCCATAGTCATTAAGGATTGGTGAATTCATGAGAACACAAAAAATATACTTTATATTTTAGCTACGACTCCTTTTATTGTGGATCACATTTTATTTATCTATTAAAAAATTGGTGCAGAGAATTTCTATGTAGAGAAAAAGATAAAATTTGATTAACCCATTTAAATTGAAATTTAGCATTTGCTTAAAAGCCTTTCTATCACAGCTATATCCAATGGATTTGGATATTGAATTATATATTGTGTGATCCTCCCCATGTTAGCGATTGCTGCCTGACTAAAATTTATCTTCCTTCTCATCATTGTAAGCCTTATACTATTGAGGGTAATAAATAGAAGATGGTATCAGTTAAACCACTAAAAGGTAAATAGTACATGCTGGAAGTTTTAAAAGTTATTTTCGAGTATATATAATTATATATTACATCCTTTTGAAACAGCTTAAAGGCTAATGCTTTAAAATTTCATTACTAGGCTAACACATAAGCAATAGGAAAATCTACAATCATAGTGCATTAGGATGCGTCCATTTTTTATTTTTTATGTCAAATTTGTTGACCTGTTTTTTAAAATTTGGCTGGATTAGGCATTACAGTACACCTCTGTTTGTCATAGCTTAAATCTTTTAACTTTTTAATGCACTTACAACGGGATGGAACTAGCATGCCCCTTTTCTATCTGTTTGACGACTTATTTTATTGATACTAGAAAATCCTTGCAGTAAGCTCATTTTAGGTTATAAACTGCATTATTCAGTAGGTTGGAGAGCTTATTATATTACTTTATATTGTGTCTAAGGGATTAACATATATGCCATGAAATCAGTTCTAATAAATGGCTCAAAGTCTTCTGATCAATGGCGTAATTATGAACTTTTTACTGGATAATGAGAGCAAGAACTACCCAATTTTTATGATGATTTATGAGTTTAAAATGTTGCTGATATTGATATGCAATGATCATTTACAAGTAAAAGGACAATACTAGTATCTGCATGACATGACTTGATTAAAGTAAAGTTTTTCATGAGTTGCCATACTTCTCAGTTGAACTTCTCCATTTCTCTCCCCTCCTTCCTATTCTTTCATTTAGCCCAAATACATGCCCCCTACTATTTTGCATTGCCTAAAGATGCAAAATTCTAGCCAATTTCTCCAACAAGAAGATCCAAATGCGACCAAGAAATGGGCTATGCATCTCCTCAAGGAATGTGCAAAGGCAATCTTTGAGAAAGATTCTGTCAAGATTCATCACATCTTATGGATGCTTAATGAGCTTGCATCCCCATATGGAGATTGTGAGCAAAAGTTAGCATTTTACTTCTTGCAAGCATTCTTTTACAAATTGACTGAGTCTGGTGAAAGCTCCTATAAAACTCTGGTTTCTGCTGCTGAGAAAAGTCAATCTTTTGATTCTGCAAGGAAGGTGATCCTTAAATTTCAGGAGGTAAGCCCTTGGACCACCTTTGGGCATGTAGCATCCAACAGTGCAATCCTAGAAGCTTTTGAAGGAAAATCCAAGCTCCACATAATTGATATTAGCAATACTTATTGCACCCAGTGGCCTACTTTACTTGAATCCTTGGCAACTCGTAATGATGACACTCCACATCTAAAACTTTCGGTAGTTGTAACTGATGGGGCAAGGGGATCTATCATGAAAGAGATCGGTTATAGAATGCAGAAGTTTGCAAGGTTGATGGGAGTTCCATTTGAATTCAAGGTGATAAGTTTCTTTTCAAGATTATCTGACCTTGATCGTGATAAACTTGGAGTTAAAGAAGATGAAGCTGTTGCAGTGAATTGCATAGGAGCCTTGCGAAAGTTGGGAGTTGAGGAGCGGTCAGAATTTATTCAAATGGTCAGATCACTGCAACCTATAGTCGTTACTGTTGTTGAGGAGGAGGCAGATTTCTCTAGCAAAGAAGATGAGTTTTTCAAGTGCTTTGAGAAATGCTTGAAGTTTTATAGCATGTTCTTTGAGATGCTAGAAGAGAGTTTTGCACCCACAAGCAATGAGAGGTTGGTGTTAGAAAGGGAATGCTCGAGGAGCATAATCAAACTTTTAGCTTGTGGAAGAGATGATAGCGAGTCTGAGAGAAGAGAGAAAGGAATTCAATGGTGTAACAGGTTGTTAGAGGCCTTCTCACCGGCATGCTTCAGCGAAGATACCATTGACGACGTGAAGGCACTCCTCAAGAGGTACCAGGCTGGATGGTCACTTTTACCAGCCAGTGGTGAAGCATCAGGGCTTTACATGACATGGAAACAGGAGCCTGTTGTGTGGGCTTCAGCTTGGAAACTCTAGTGTTCGCTTTGAGTTCAAGTTACTTTAGTAGAACTTGCGTTAATACTCTCGCAAGCTGGCTATTCACTGAATTATGAGTTTTAATTCCCTCATTGTGGTGTGATTTTCTTGCTTTTTTATTCTTCTCAATTTGTAGTGGTCTGCTTTGCTTATTTATTGGCGAGACTAAATTATCCTATTGAATTTGATATAATTAATTAAGTATGAAGTTATTAAATTTATATGAACTGCAAGTTCCTGTTGCTGGAATGAGTGAATACTGTTAATGTTAAATTTTTGTATCACAAAGTGTGGTGAACTGGCTTTCCGAATATTTGATCTCCTCTTTGCACAGAAATCCATGGAGTTTCATAGCCTTAAGCATAATTGCTGGGTTAGGATGCCATTGGAGAAACTGATTATATAAAAACGTCACACAAATAGAAAGCAACACCTAAAAGCCTGTTTGACTAACAGTCCTATGCAGCATGAATTGCTCTCAAAGCCTGTGAAACTTGTTTTGCATGAAATGACTGTGCTCAAATCACTGTAGCTGAGCTCTCAAGCTTCTTCTGAAGAGATGAAACAGGAACCAAATAAAGAAGAAAATATTTTTCAGCTTAGATTTGATTCAATTATTGCTTTGCTTTTCCTTTTCCATACTGAAGATCATTTTCTTTTGCAGGCCACTAGGGGAACTTTGATAAGAAAATCCGGGAAGGAATGACCTATATTGGCCGCCTTGCTGGAATAAGCAGATCACTGTTGCTTTGTTTACTTGATTTGATTCTAAGTATAGCAAATTTTTGCAAAGCAACTTTATTGTCTGGCCACTTTTCACAGCCTGCTTGAGTGGGAAAAGATAGTGAATTGCTATAACAACTCATTGCGCGCTTTAAGATATATTATGGTATTCCTGCTATCATCCTCGTAAAGTGCTCATGGTGGATTCTTCTTTTGGTGTCGCTGCAGCTGATAAGATATTGCAAATAATGTTACAGTAATGGTTTTGTAATGCTCAGATTGATTGGAAAACTACGTGTGTTATCAGAAATAAAGAGGAGTAAATGCTTGGGCCGGTTATTGAGAACACCATGGGCATATGTAAAAATGAAGCGGAAGAATTAAAGAAAAATTTTGTAAAATTGTTCACTATGTTGTGTGAGTGGTATATGGGCCAGTAAAGAAGTTTGATATGTTGTGTATGGCAAAAATTAAATGTTAAGATGGATATATGATAAAAGTAGGAATGATATATTGATGATTGATCATATTATAGGATTTATGAGAGTAACATTTATTGATGATTAAATATTGAAAAATTAGTTGATATGTCATCAAAAATCGCCTTGATCGAACACAAATCTTGATGCTTTTTTGAATTGAAAACTTTCAAAATTAAATTCAAGGCCATTTGAACTCTAATCCCAACAAACTTATAAGCAAACTGAACATCTCAATAAGATGAATTCAACGATATTAAAATTAGTTCAGTTTGAGCCCAAATGGATCCAAATCAATGACCTAAAGCACATCCAAAAGCTTCAAGACGTTAAGATATTTATGATATATGTATGTTGGATTTCTTATGATTGTTGCACCCCTCTCTTATATATATGTTATATGTATGTTGGATCTTCATTCAAAACTAAGACGTTAAGCTTTTTATCTCACCACCACCGTGAATATTCTCGCAATGAAATTAATATTGAATGAATTATTATATCTACATTTTTCTGTGTTAAACAATTATAGTAGAAATCTATAATAATTATTTTTGTAATATTTTCTCATTATTATTTTTTTTTCTCTCTCTTGTATGTGTATGCTCATACTTGTACTAGCATAAGAACCAATTAAGTAAAGGTGTAGCCCTTTTATATTTTCAGTATGGTATAACGCTTTGATATAACGTCTCTCTCTCTCTCTCTCTCTCTCTCTCTCACGTTCTCATCTCTCTCTCACGTTCTCATCTCTCTCACGTTCTCATCTCTCTTGGACAACTCATGCACCTACTCAGCATCTTTCTCTAGTTTCTTTCTTTTTTTTTTTTTAATTTGATGGCATCATTGGGGTAGAAGAATTGATTGCAAGATGACGAGAGGCTTAAAGTGGGTCGATAGAAAGGAAGCAAAGCTTGCTCGTTCAGATAATTTTACAAACTGTTGACATACGCAATAGCTAATTAAAAGAATTAACTAGTGATTCATGTAAATGGCAATTTAACTCCATAATAAAAGTGATGAGGACATCGTCAGCATTATCGACGCCGGAGATCGACGGCCACGAGCATGACTTGTATTTTGTCATTTATGTAGTAGCGTATTTATTTTGTTGTTTTTTCCACTTTTGCCCTTATGGGCATTTAGTCGCTTATGTAGCCCGGAAGGGCATTTGTGTCATTTCTTATTTTCTCATTTTGGCCTATTTATATGAGGCCTCATGCTTTGTAATTTCAGTTTTTGGAATGAAATAAAATTTTACTCTTGTTCTCTTAGTGAGTTCATCTTCTCCCACGATCTCTTAGTGAGTTCGCCGGAGGAAACTAGATCTCTTAGTGAGTTCTAGTTCACCGGAGAAGACTAGATCTCTTTGTGAGTTCTAGTTTTCGAGTTATCCAATCTTGTGGAAAATCAAGGTGTAAACAGACGAGGTTAGTAATTCCGTATTCGTCATCGCCGTGGAATTTCCATCTTCTTTCTCTTTGCATTTGCCGCCGCCTAACCTGAGCTGCTCAAGCCGCCGACCACCTTGGCTGCTCCCCTCCCACCGGCCAGTCACTCTCCAGGCTTCTGGCCGCCACCCATGGCCCTCCCGTGCAGCCAACAGAGTTTCTTCTCTGTTTTGATTTCACGAAAGCAGCAGAGATTCTTCTCTGTTTGAATTCACATAAGCAAGAGAGTTATTTCTCTGTTTGGATTTCACGCAAGCCAAAATCCCTGCCAGCCAGCCGTGACTTCAGCCCACCGTCCCCTGGCAGTTTTCCCTTGCCGCTGGATTGCCCTGCTTGCCCAAGCCCGTGAAATTCAATTCCAGGCGTTTCAAGTATTTGCCAAATTAAAATCCATCTTCAGGCAAGGCAATTAATGACATTAGGAGCTATTTGAAATTTGAATTCGCCTTCTTAATTGAGCCAATTAATTTGGGAATTAATTAAGGGGGTTACACTCTTTTGAAATTCAAATTCCCTCCTCATGTTATTTAAATTAGGGAGTTACATGAGACAATTAAAATCTGAAATTAAAATCAGATTTTGATTAATTACTTGTGGTCCCCACTTACTTAAAACCTCCAAGCCCTCTCTCTCTCCATGTGGCCGGCCACCTCACCCCATTGCTTCTCCCTCTAATTGCCACCTCATCACCTCTTAATTACCGCCCAAATACCTCCCTTCTCAAATGAACTCTCAGTTTTATTTCAGATTTCAAATCTGAGAATTGAAATCAAGTACTCCCTCTCTCCTTCCATTGGATATCTTCTTGCGAACTTGCTGCCCAACAGATTTTGCAGGTCCACCTTAGCTGGACAGCTCCAGAAGGCAACCCCTTGCTGCCCATACGCCTCCTGTCTGCTGTTTTGCATTTCCCGCACCTAAAAACTGCTGTTTAGGAGATCGGGAACATGCTCTCTTGCTGTCCAGCCCATTAGAATGTCTTCAGACACCGTCCGGACATTCCAGGCCGCTGAGTACACCTTCAAGAAAACGTTGTCAAGAACTCCATGCTCCGGCCACCTATCCAAGAGCGACGATCCAAGGCTCCCCCTTCCTCGAAGCGACCTCGATTCTAAGGTGGAGACGTTTCTTCCGCTAAAGCCTAGACTAGTCGAGTGTATGGTCTCCAAAGGTGAAAGTTCTTATTATTAAATTGTGGATTTTTGTTCACCGTCGTAGTTTTACAATTTGAACTTTGCGTTTTCTTAATATGTTTGGTTTCCGAAATTTGCTCATCTTTGCCTAAGCAAGTTAAAACCACGAATTCCAATGATCAATCTTTTGCTATAAGTGATAATTTTACTTTGGGATTATTTGTTTAAATTGTTCTCGTTAATTTCTTAAAGTAACTCCTCCATCGCATGTACGTTTCACATCATCTTGGTATCAGAGCATGG